ATTTTTTAAATAAAATGTATTATGAAAATACTTTTCTTGCAAAGAAAAAAATAGAAAAAAATTCTAAATAGAAGAGCAAACACTAAATTCCCATGTATGTGATTGGACTAGAAACAGCCAGCACTGGGCAGTAGCCAAGGTCCCTCACAACAAGCACCTGGGGCAGGTGTACCTACCGCCCTTCATCATTCCCACTTCATAGCATTTGCGGAGCCGGCAGGCCTGGCAGCTTTTCCTCCTGTTTTTATCGATCGTGCACTGGTTGGTAGCTGGACACATGTAGTCATTATGTCCTATTAAAAGCAAGAGGACAGAATTAACATTATTTCAGGAAATATTGCCAGTCAGAATCTACAGGAAACTTTGAAGGATGCTTTCATATCACTTACTTGGCCTTATTATGCTGCTACCTCAACCTGCCTTCCTTTATCCATCCTTGAAGTATAAACAAAACCTCTTAAAGACTTAATTTCAACCTCAGCCAATTGCTTCAGGAGTTCTTTGAGGGCAAATCACCTTCAGGTCACACAGCCTATATTTTGCAGCATGGTGTTTTATATGCACTCACAAAAGTTCAAGTCCAGGTAGTGGGCTGGGTGGGCAGTAAGGGTCACTCCTTAAGTTAGACCATCACTTACTAGCTGGAGGATGTTGAGCAAGCTACTTGATGTCTCTAGGTCTCACCTTTTCCCTTTAATCTAGAGAAAATAATGGCACCCACTACATAAAATTGTTCTATAAATTAAATGTGGGAATACATGTCAACTATAGTGTCCTGGATGTGGTAAGCACTCAAAAGATATTAGCTGCTGTTGTTACTGTTATTTTATTATTAATCCTCTTTCTTTTCTCTCTTGATTATTGAATCTCTCTCATTCAAGTGCTACTTTTGAATAAGCCTGTCCCATTAAAATCAGCTCCATTGTCTCACCTCACTCTCCAACCTCCATCTTATACCTTATCCGCTCCTCAGACATGTCTACACTTGAGGTCTCTTTTTCTTCCCTCTCCTACAGGGCTCAGCCCATGCCAATCTGTTTTCCACCCTCGCTGCCCCACAAAAGCAGCTTCCTTAAGATCACTGATGACTCCTGCTGCTAAACTCAACAGATATTCCCAGTCCACATCACACTCAACCTACCAAAAGCAGCTGATCATGTTGACTCCTCCCTTCCTCTTGAAACACGCTTTTCCTGGCTTCCAACACACAAAACTCTACCCTTGTTTGGGGCTTTTCTCCACCCAACATTAAGCCAGAGCTGCTTAGGGCTCAATGGTAGGCCCTCCTTCCCTTTTACTACCCGGTATTCTCCCACAAGAGAAGCTAGTGCATGCTGTCACTAAATGCAGATTACTCAACAATGCATCCCCCAGCCCAACCCTCTTCTCTGAGCTCCAGCTAATATACCCAACTGCCCCACAGGAAGTTTCTGCTCTGAGATTTAGAAGTCATCGCCATTCCTTTATCCACGAAAAGAAGTCCAGTTTACAGTGTGCGGAATATTAAACTTCACAAATTAATACATATTGGCATGTTTTTAATAAAGAAGTCTGTTTAG